TCCATGTGCTATCTGCTTTGGCTTTGACTACTTGGACTTCAGTGTGATTTTGCATTCTGGATTTCTGTGCTTCGTCCATATTCATGTTCCTTGCAGATGTATTATATAATATAGATTACTATCTTGACTTGCCGGGGGACCAGGAGCCGGACTGACGCTCCTCAGAAGGGATATGGAGCCAGGGCCATAAGGACCTGTTAAATATAAAAAAATAAAAGAAAAATTTTTTATTTTTTTATCCAGTCGTCCTCCAGGACATCCGTTAAAATTGGAAAGATACAGAGAAGAGTAGCATGGCCTCCGCGCAAGGATGAAATTCATAAATCGGGAAATGGTCCGAATACGTTCAATGGTCCGGGACATCCGTTATACTCTTCTCTCAAATTATTTTCTGCCTTTCACCACCTACCAACCACTACTCCTAAGGCTATATAGAGGGGATCCTTGCAAGCATAGCTACCTCACAATGCAGGGATTGCATATTTCCCCCCGCTCTAACAGCGGTAGTCAGAGATGGGGTGGGGCCGCCAGTGGGGCCTCTGGCTAACGCGAAGACCAAGCACTTTGCCAGGTGCTGCGCCTCCCTTTTCATCATCCCCCACTCCCAACCGCATAACAGCAGACTGAGTGTCTAAGGCCAACACACACTCTCCCACACACCACACACAACCCACTCACACTCGCACTCCCACCCGTGGTAATCAGTAGGCCATGGTAATCTTCTCTGCGGTGGACTTAGTGCCAAAGACCCTACTGATACGGATCAGAGGTATCAAGCGGACAATCACAGCTCGTTGGCATCAAGTGCGCCGCAGGCGGTTATGGGGCTCGAACCCACAACCTCGTGAATGCCACTTTTGTGCCTGTGGCATGCACAGTCCCCACGCTGGCCCCTGCAGGGCCCAGCAGTAGGACTAGGGGGTCTTAGGGGGTAGTCTAGGGCAGTTACCGTTTCAGTCCTGGGTCTGGGTTAGTAGTACTTAGTACTTATGCTGTTTATGGTTTAGGGTTTAGGGCCTGGTTACACAGCAGTTAGCAGGAAGTGCCAGGTTTTGAGTTCAGGTGCCAGTCTGCAGTTGGGACACGTTTTCGTCTCATTTTCGTTTTGGCGCCAGGCCTGGTTACGCAGCAGTTAGCAGGCAGCGTTGAGGCCGGACTTCAGGCAGGCCAGCACTATATATAGCTGGCCCTCCCCCCAGTCCGGCAGGTAGTTCGGAGGTAGCTCTCAGAAGTAGTTCTGAGACAGTAGTCGACGGGCTTGGCACAGTTAGTGTACAGTACTGGGCGCGAGCTAGGAGTTGGAGCGCTGTGCTGCACTGCACAGAGAGAGAGAGAGAGAGAGAGAGAGAGAGAGAGAGAGAGAGAGAGAGAGAGAGAGAGAGAGAGAGAGAGAGAGAGAGAGAG